ACCCCCCTGCCCCCCAGGACCCCTACAGCATGTTCCGGCCCAAACGCTACGCGGGCACCAAAGAGGACCCGAACCTCGTGCCCTCCATCACAAACAAACGGATCGTGGGCTGTGTCTGTGAGTGACCCTGTCCGTGTGTCTGTCCTGTCTGTGTGTCTGTGAGTGACCCTGTCTGTGTGTCTGTCCTGTCTGTGTGTCTGTGAGTGACCCTGTCCGTGTGTCTGTCCTGTCCCTGTGTCTGTGAGTGACCCTGTCCGTGTGTCTGTCCTGTCTGTGTGTTTGTCCTGTCCGTGTGTCTGTGAGTGACCCTGTCCATGTGTCCCTCCTGTCCCTGTGTCTGTGAGTGAGTGACCCTGCTGTCTGTGTGTCCCTCTGGTCTGTGTGTCCATCCTGTCCCTGTGTCCACGTGTCCCTCCTTGTTCCCATGTCCATGTGTCTGTCCTGTCCCTGTGTCCATGCCCTGTTCCCACATTTCTGTCTCTGTTCCCGGGCCCCATTCCTGTCCCTGTGTTCATGCCCTGTCCCACTCTGTCCCTGTCCCCAGGTGAGGAGGACAACAGCTGCGTGGTTTGGTTCTGGCTGCACAAGGGCGAGGCCCAGCGCTGCCCCTCCTGTGGGGCCCACTACAAACTGATCCCCCACGAGCTGCCCCACTGAGGGGGGCTGTGGGACCCCCCCCCGGGGCCCTGCTGAGCCCCCCCTGCACCTGAGCCCACGATAAAGAGATGGTGGGGAGACCCTGACTCTGTGTGTGCTGGGGGGGCAGCAGGGTGGGGAGGGAGGGCAACTGCTGTGTGGAGCCAGGCCAGGCCGTGAGGGTGTCGCTGTGAGTGACCTGGGGCTGTGGGAGGGGGGTTGTTGAGGGACCCCCTTTCACTGTCCCTCTTCCCTGGGGGGTGCTGGGATTTGAGGGGCAGCTGGGGTGCAGCTGCTGGGAGGTCTCAGGGGTACTATTTTGGACCTCCCTGCCCAGCCTGGGGGATCACCCACCCCAAAAGAAGACCCCAGAGGGGGCTGGGTTACCCTCTTAGCCCTCCCACACACAAGTGTCCCCCCAGCTGCCTCTATGGGGGTCTCTCTGTTCACATGGGAGAGGCACAGCTGGACACATCCTTGGGGGGTGTCACCTACCCCAGGGGTGACACCCCATTGGGCGGGAGCCTCCTGGGGACACTGGGGGAGCCCTGGGGGCTGGTCCTGCCCTGGCATCTCTGAGGGCACCTGGGAGGCTCCACAACACCCCTGGGAGTCCCTGAAGGTTCTCATGAGATCCCAGGAGGCCCCAGTAGGTCTATGAAGGTTCCCATAAGGTCCCCAGTGGGTCCCTTGAGTTCCCCAGAGGTTCTCAGGAGATCCTGGGGGGTCCCTGGAAGTCCCTCAGCAGGCCCCCACAGGATCTGGATGCTGCAGCTCTGCCCTTGTATCACACATCCCCAGGGTGGGGGATCAGGTTGTACCCTCCCAGCCCCACTTAGGGGCCCTGGGGGGGCCCAGGGAGGACCTGGAGGCTGCCAGATCCCCAGCGTGTCCCCTGTGCTGCTGATGTCACCAATGACGTCAGACTGGGTGGTCATGATGTCATGCACCCCCGGGGGGAGGGGCTCTGATCCTCACCAGCTGATGGGGACTGTGGTGGCCATGACTGACAGTCAGGGGTGGGGCCTGCCTGGTGGGGCGGGGCTCCAGCCTCACTGACCAATAGGAGCTGGTGGAGGCTGTAATTGACAGCAGGAGTGGGTGGGAACCTGCAATTTATGGGACTGTGCTGGGAGGGGAGGGCGGGGCTTGGGGCTCACCAACCAATCGGTGCTGCTG